GACAACTATCTACTTTTATTTTCAACTTTTTTCTTTTTAATAAATAATTTTGTTAATTTACTTTTTCTACTTTTTCTACTTTTCTTACTTTATTTACTTCTAATCCTACAGTGTCTATTGAATCAAAAGTGACTGTTAAAAAATCTGAGTTATAGCCCTTTAGTACTATATTTACTATTAGGCCTCTACAAAATCCTAGAGTATATAGTTAGGGTTTAGGAGTTCTAAGGTGACTTCCAGATTTGTAGAAAAGGCTTCTTACTACAAATCCTACTTGTTACTTGTCATCACTCTAATAACCTGACAGTTAAGGACTGTCTGTAGAAGTGACATTATATCTGTTAGGTCATTAGAGTAATAATAAGTAACAAGTAGGATTTACAGAAAAGGCTTCTTACTACAAATCCTACTTGTTACTCATTATTACTCTAATAACCTAACAGATATACTATCACTTCTACAGACAGTCCTTAATTTAGTGCCCTAACTTTCTGTAAGCAAAGTATACTCCTTACTTTCAGGCTTCTCTAATATTTATTAGAACAGATTAATTATGAATTATGAGTAGATTAATCTGAGGGCTCAGAACTGTTAGAGCTGAATGTATGTGTAAGTATTCTGTACTGACTTAATACATTTAAGCTATAGCTTGGTCAAAGGAAATGGTGCACATCTTCTAATTAGTATAAGTGATCAGTTCTAGTATTATTCTGAGAATCTTATTAACTAGTTCTAAGTAAAGAGCTTTTTCAAGCATTCTAATAAGAACATTATTAAACCTGAGTACAAATCCTGCCTTTTAAGCTAGGATATCAAACTCCTGAAAGAAGGTATTAGTAGAATGTTTGCCCTGTTACAGAGACACAAGCTTGTTCTATACATTATACTTCTTATTCAGATTAATAAAGGAAGTATAGAGCTACCTTATAAATTCTGAATACAACTTATTGTTCTAAAGTCAGATCAGGCTTCTAATCTAATGTTCTTCAATCCAGTTCTAGGCCTAGGTGGCTGTGTTGCCTTCCTTCATGAAGGAGAGGACAAATAAGATACAATCAAGATCTGAGAATAGATTAGTTAAAGTAGTAGTTACATATAGTTCAACTTAGTACTAGAAGTCCTTAAAGTGCTACCTATTAAAGTCTAAAGGGTAGGCTACATGTACTTTCTTTCTAAAACAGGTTACAACTTCTAGAACAATTAGAACAGGTTCTGAGAGGGCTGAGAGTACATAGTTAGTAAAGGCCTCTTAAATAAAGGTCTGTACATATTAAGCTAAGTCTACTCACAACTACTAATTTAGTAGGACAGTAGGGGTAGTAGTTAGTGTAGGAGGGTTCATGTTTACACTATAAAGGAATCAACACTAACTAAAAGGGGTAATGAATAGAAGAAGGGTGGTAAAAGTTTAAAAGGGTTTAGAAAGTTTAAAATTTAAAAATGTAAAAGGGTTAGAATAAAGAAAAGAGATCAACACAATAGTGAGTACTAATACTCAAAACATAAGAGAGTTGTAGGGTAGTAATAGATAGTCTTAATCTAATGTCAGTAATAGTGTAGAGGGGACCTAAAGGCTTAGTAAGAGGACCTAGGCTACAACTATTCTATACTACAGAAATACAGAACACAAGTACTAGAACATAGTTGGAACTTACAGAACAGATGTAGAGAGAGAGTGAGACAAGAGTAGAGTATATAGAGTAAGCTTAAGAGTATAGGACTACCTAGAGTAGACAAGATTAAGACTACAGGACTAGTCTGATCTTGTACACCTATATATACTAAACTATACAAGAGTACTTAGAGAGTATGAGCCACTAAGAATGATAAGCTACAAAGAATGAAAGAAAGAAAGGTCAAAGATAAAGGTATAAAGAATGAAGGGATAAATAAAGGGTAAGAGATTATAGAATGAACAAAGAATGAAGGGGTGGTCAAAGGAACAGAATAATGAAGTAAGGAGGGGTAGTAGTAAGAGTCAGTATACATATAGTTTATAGACAGTACTCCTGAGGGACAGAAGTCCTAAGTTCTAGTATAGAAGAGTATAGAACCCTTAGAACTAAAGGTGTAAGAGTAGAGAACTATAACATTCTACCTTTACTATCTCCCTAACCCTTTACCCTTAACACTATACTGTTACTTCTGTTCTCTGAGTCTAGCCAAGTCCTCTACTCACAAGTGTCCTACTAGTAGGCACTCTGTCTACTACAACATAAGTAACAAACATTACTATACTTGTCTCTCTAATCTACTGTTACAATACTTATACTGAGTCTCAGATTCTATACTAATACTACTAAGCTAACTATACTATTCTTTAACATAAAGTATAAGTAGCTAGTCCCTTTATAATAGCTTGTACAATAGTTACTCATCCCTCTCCTCCTAACTTTTTGCCTCCCTTCTATCCCTTCTACTCCTTACTCTACCTCTTACTCTGCCTCTCCTTTGTTGTCCTCCTTTTTTTTACATTCCTCTTCCTTTTTACATTCACATTTGTACTTCTACATTGTTGACCAATACTGAACAACTTCTTTAATAATTCCATGTATTTATATTCTTCTTCCTACTCTACAGTGTAAGTAACAATTAACAAGTACACACTTGTAACAATGTCTATGTCAGATTACTTCTAAGATACAATCCTCTCTCTAACCCTGTACATACTCTCCTTCTCTACCTACTATTCTATACTTGACATTCTTGATAGACTTATACTGTATGTCTTTACATTCCCTAATGCCCTCTATAACACTATTTTGAATAACAGAAGTAGTGGCCACTACTCACCCCTTCTAAGCCAAGTCTGTCTACACCTTATATATTACCTTCTCCCTTCAAGCTAGAATGTCCTAGGGATACACCTTATAATTAATGACTCAGTTTACTACACCTCCTATTAGACACTATAGATAGACAATAGAGTATATACACACAAACACAATTTTGTCTACAGTTCAAACCTGCTTGTTTAACACTCTGAATCTTAATCTGTATACACTACTCACACTAACTATATACTGTCACAGTGTATCCATCTTTTCTTACTTGTTACTACTTACTAATCTAAACCTGTCTCATAGGTGTAGCTCTCTCTTTAGGCCAGAATACTCTAGGAATACACTCCTCAGTCAATAGTTCAGTTTACCATACCTCTAATTATAAAACATAGTCAGAGTATACAGTGTATATATACAGATACAGTTTTGCCTACAGCTCAAATTAGCTCATTCAACACTCTCTAGTGTACTACTCACTCACTACACACTATTATAGTGTATCCATCTTGTAAGGGATTACCATATATAGTAGACCATACATAGAACCTCTTCACTAAAAGGGTGTAATATTAAGCTTAGCTTGACACTTAGTCTACACTATATATACTGATAAATGTTTGTGTCCTAATATTACTCTCCTCTCTAGAGTTATGTATTCTTACATGACTAGTATATAGAGTTTGACCCTAAGGGTTACTATTTCTAACTTAACCTTGACAGTCTTTAGAGGTAGGAAGAGATATTCTAATATAGAGTCCTGGCCCTAGTATTCTAAGCAACTGAGAAATTCACTCCCCCCCTTTAGGAAGCTTATTCTCAGCCTAATACTTTTGCTTACAGACAACCCTACATCAGGATCAAACCCCTGACTACTCTAAGCTTGACATTATGTGAGGGATTACTATATATAGTAGACCATACATAGAACCTCTTCACCAAAAGGGTGTAATGTTAAGCTTGGCTTGACACCTGGTCTACACTATATATTGTGATAAATGTTTGTGTCCTAACACATCTCCTCAATCCAGTTACTTACTCATACTGACAACACTCATACCCATACTCTTAGCCAATCAATCTCACAACCTGTCTCACTCCTAATTGTTATAGATTATAATGTATTTATATAATGTTTCAATATAATTATAAACTGTTATTTCAATAACAAACAGATATAAGGGAAAATAACTATTATTAAGATATTAAAATGATTTAAGACCTTTATAAACAATTATAATATTTGCTATAATTAACAAGAGTGATTTAACCTTGTAATTTTAGAGATCCATTGTAATGCATTTTATATATTGCCAAGGAGAATAACTCTTATTTATGTTTACAAATTACACAAACCTTTCAGACTTTATAATGAATTGTAGTACTTTCTCAGAAACCAAGATCTGTTCCAAGTGTTTTTACTTTTTTTACTTTTTTCACTTATTTTATACCATTATAAGATAGTACAAGAATTTAGACTTTTTCCCAATACAGTCTAGTTCACATACAAGCAAGCAACATATCAACCAGATGCCCAGTAACACTTCAACACCAACACACACCAAGTATAAACTGACAATTGTGTATGATAACAGCAAGGGTTGCAAGGTCAATGAGTCATGGACAATGAAAATTTCTGCCAACCGGGATAAAAAGACTCTTAAGTATGGTATAGTCAATAAGTTCTACAAATCCCTAAGTGATTATGAACATAACAGCTCACCTACAAAAATGTGGGCAAGTCTCAAGACAGTTCCAGAGGATCCAAACGTCAGTCCAATCAAAGAATTTAGCTGAAACGTTTTTCACCACTAACTCGTGTTCTCACACATAGATCATATCCCTTACTGACTTACAGTTATACAACCTCAGCAGTAGTGAAGATATACTGGTTGTATCTTTTGAAAGCCAAATTAGAGATGAGAACATATACATTCCGCTACCAAAGCATTCCCAGCCGAAATCCAGCATTACTGCAAAGGATAAATACAGACCTAAAGCAATAGTCAGTATTACTTGTGAGAGACTACAGACTGTATGCTGCAAATGTAGCATTCAAGGAGCAAATATGGTTTTATCTAAGTGAAACAAGTTTCCACTTGTGGAGGCAATCAAGGGTTGATTGTGGGGTCCGCACGCATATCCGTAATACGCTAATATGTAATTTATATCATTATACAGTATATCACGTACTATGGAGTATGAAGCAAGTGCACAGCAAAAACAATTTCGATAATTAGTGGCCTGAGTAAGCAGGTAGACAAACAGACAGATACAAGTTAATTTGTAACAGCAGGACTTTTCACGAAGAGAGAAACAGAGAGAAACAGAGAGGTTTATAAAGTGAGCGTAAACGTAAATCAGGGATTGAGCGAACAATACAAGAAATGACGTCTCGGGCCAGCAGCAGGACCTTGCACACCAGGGACTCGCCCACCCAACGGAGCAGGGTCAGCCCCACTGCCGCTCCCTCGTACACCTAAGGAGAACATGCGATCGAACACTAAAAATATTAATCCATCAGTCAATATAATTCAGTTTAGATAAGTGAAAGAAGAACGTACGAGTGGTAGTAAACGCCTTCGCATTGTTCTGACAATTCAGATGCGTAAGTGTGAGTGGAGGAGTGACACCTTCGAGACCGCGTAGATAGCGATAGACCATGGAAGGTTGGCATGGTCCGAAGCGGAAGCAGGAGTTGTATGCTTGACGCCAGCGTTCGTCGAGAAGACGAGCGCATGTTGGCGGGTCGGGACAGGTGTTGCACTAGATGAAGCATAAACGTTGGTTAAGGATTGAGGACAAAGGTGAGAGAGCTTACGCATTGGTATTCCTTCGCTACGTTGACGAGACCTAGTTTTAGGACGCGCTCAAGGAACCAATTTCGTCTAAGCAGCAATTCAATATTAACTCCATGGGTGTTACAAGAAAACACGGAGTTTCTTACCGTTTCTCGAGTTTAAGCAACGTCTCCTGGCTCAACGTGCTCATCTCGCTCTCACTCCACCCGCCAGGGTTATCTAACACAAATCGGCTGGACTCGCGATACAAATGCTCTTCCTCAAACAACTCCGCAATACGCATCGCCTTGATAGGTTTCCCAGCTGCATGCGTGAGGAGGAATGTCAAGCACTGCTTCGTCAATGCCGGGACACACAGTTTTGATGAGATGTTCATGAGACCCTCGACATTGTTCCAAGTGATCGAACATTCAAGACTGTGTTCTCCGTCAATATGTTGCGTTGATAGGTGAAGAATAAAAAAATAAATTTGCACGTACTGAGGATAAACAAACTTGAGGAAATCATGGAAGACGCTGGCCTTCTCCTCCTTCAACACGATCTTCGCCTCCGCACCAGTTGCCGACTTCTTCCTCTTCACACGCGCAATATTCGCATTTGCATTTGCACTACTCGGCAGCGGGCCTGCTTTCCCCTCGAGCTGGTTCAAACTCTCATCTCGCACCTTATCCTTCTCTACATCACTCGTCTCTCCGCTTGTGCCCGTCCGTGTGTTTAGAGCTTCAAGCTCATTTTTGAGGTCATCGATGTCGGCGTCTTCAGGACTCGTATCGGGGTCAGAGGCGACGTGTGATATGCCCGTCGGCACGTCCTTTGACGCATCGCGGGGGTTAGAGGGAGGTTGTGGGATGGTGATGACGGATGAGGCGATCGACTGACGACGTGCGGCGCCACTCGTTATGCTGGCGCCTTCGTCGACACGCGTCTCGGACCAGTCGCCGCTGAGTGCTGCTTCGAAGAATGGTGAAGCAAAGACAAGGATTTCTCGGTGTGCCCTGGAAACGAAAGTCAGATATCATAAATGCATAGCCGTTTGGACTGGATAAGAGTAAGCTCACCAGAACGTCGTCCCCTCCACAACAATCTTAACAGTCCCAGGGAACCGTCCCTCACGAGTAAACGTAAGATCAAGCTCCACATCCTCAAACGGCACATCACTGTCCTCACTCTCCTGCTCACTGTCCGCCTCAGACTCTTCAATCACCCACTGGCCGCTCAGCGTCCCCGTTCCATGTGCACTTCCGTGGCTATGGAGTCTATGTTGGCGGCCCCGTCCATTTCGAAATATTCCAGACGCAGCAGCGTGCGTCTCTGTAGGAGAGCTAAGCGCCGCACTAGGGTTGTGTCCTCGCGACCCGCGCGCGATGAGGATATGCGACGGGTTCGTCGTCATCGTGCGATGATGTCCTCCTGCCCTACTATGCCCCGCCGTCGTTGCGTTTGTGGTAGTGATACCCAGCTCCGCAATCGTGTTTGAATTCAAGTTTGATTCCGTGTTTGCGTTAATGTTATTCGAGTTTTCTTCACGAGAGTTTCCGTACGTAGTAGATATATGCCTGCTACCAGTTACCCCAGACACAGTCGAATTTACGCCAGCACCGTCAACGTCAGTATCCTGGCCTTGCTCTGATGAATCTTGGTCGTAGATAGCGTAGGAGACAAACTCATGATGCACAGACCCGGCAGTCAGCGCATCTGTTGTCAGCGAATTGGTCACGGTACCAGAATGATGACTGCCAGAGCCGGAAACAGCGTTAATTAACGAGGAGGATCCAGGGATCGCCAACAAGTGCCGCCACACGTGCCGCTTACGTCGCGTCGACTTCCTTCCAGTGTCGATCATTGTGCTTTATTCAGTCAGTCCAAGTATTACAAGTTAGCCAAATTGAAGGAGAGTGCAAATTAAAGGAGGGGAGGGTAAAAAATGGGAGGACCAGCTCCAGGAAGATGAGAGATAAAACGATAGAGATAACTAGCCACCGACAGACCAGGATGAGGTTAATATACCATATTTTCTAGAGCCACATATCGATATATGTTATAACTCGGCCACATCTTCTCCTCGTGTTCAGGATCGGCTGAGCAGGCGGCGACTTAGTGCGTTAGTGCTGTCAAGGCGCAGGTACGTGCTTTGATATTAGAGGTTAAGCTCATCGCCATATGTCTGGTGGTATTACTGATCAAAATGAATATTTATCGAGCACACAGGATGAGATACAGGACAAAATGAGACAGGCCAGATGCGAGAGAGAAATCAAGAAATACACAGCAACGTTGTAGATCAATTGTTGATAACTAATAGAAGTATCAATCACCTTCATGCAGATACGAGTCACGTCTAATCTAAAACAACGTACACCAAAGCAAACAGACTACACTACATGAACATACTCGCAAGTGAACCCTGCGCATACGCCATCGGCTTTAACGGCGGATGCGGCTTCGCGTCGAATTGTCGGTACTCGCACCTCCCCGACGAGTCCACTCGGACCTGCAATTTACACAAGTCACATGTATATTATTGAGTGCCGTAATTTCTCGTATAAAAGAATCTTGTAGAAATCACTCACAAATGCACCACGATTCCCACTCTGATCGACATAATTCGGAGCGGAGAAGACAGTCGTGCAGAGTCCCTCGTGTTCAATTGCATAGCCATCTATAAATTATAAGTTGTAGGTGAATGGATTTGATTTCAACTTGGATAAATTAGAAGACTAAGAATACCTTGTCGGACTTCATGGCTACGGAAGATCCCAGTCACTTTATTCAGCTCACACCACCGTTTCGTAACGTCCGGTCCAAAGGCAATGCCGACGCCCTATATGTAGAAGACAATATCGTAAGATTATAAAAGTAATAAAAGATCTAATATCCGGCTTACCCTCTTACTCGGCCCACGTCCCGGAAGTTCTTGTGGGTCCGTCCAAAGTAACTCGCCTATCAGCAAAACAAAAAGTACCGGTCCATTCAGTATCGACTCCAACTGAAGTCAAAGCGGATAACAGAAAAAAGGGTAAAGAAAAGGTGGAATAATACGTACACATCAACCCCTCCTGCCCAGGCTGCTTCCCTACCCTCGGAATCTTTCGAATCTCATCAAGCGTCACACCATCCTTGCTAAACAGGCCGCCGTGTACAACGAAATAACGTTTCAGGCCGGCTTCCGACAGTATTGGTTTTCGCGAGGACTTCGGATCCGGGACGGGCGGGCGTGTTGCGTTTATCAGAGTTGCGAGCGGTACTAGACGACCGTGAAAAATAATTAGAAAGGTCAGTTAGCTTAGTGAAATATAAATGAGAAAGGGTGGGAGGACGTACGAGCAGTGAAGACATGCGTGAAGAGCTATCAAGGTATCAGTATTCCATATTCCATTTAAATTAACACATACATGCCAAACCGAAGAAGAATAAACTGACCTTGTAAGTCTGTTCCCCATGTTTATGTTTCGCTTCACCCTCAAACCCATACTGGCGGTTCATATCCTTTGTCTCATGATTTCCACGATTGATGAACATCCGGTTCGGGTAGAGCCCTATTTCCGTCCATTACCGATAACACGCATATCATATGGAGCATGCATACAACCAGAAACGAGACAACGAGACAACCAGAAGCCATAAGGCATAAAGGCATACAGCCACATAGTTGTATGCACGTTGGGCATCGAAATTGTGTCAGCAGATATAGGTATTTCGTTAGAGCGCCCGAAAGCCCGAATCGGCGATGAGTTAATTGGATGATTCGTATGCATTAATAATATAAAACAAAGAAACCGTGACCGCCAAGTTGCCCAACGAGCAATCGTCCGTGCCAGTCCGACGTAAGCCCGACATAAACATATGCAAGTTGACCAAGAGATTTTCATCACAGAGTTAGAGTCAAAAGAACAAGGGGTTGCGTGACCGCAGCGTTTGCAGAAACAAGTCCAAGCCGGCGCAGCACGGTTAGATTAAGATAGACGCAAGACAAATTGATTGGCGTGTTCGAAATGCCATGCCCCGCCGCAAGTCCGTCCGTACCATTCAGAGTTTGTGTATTATTTTATTCATATGCAGTTCGTCAGCAATTGAATGAATAGAATGGGCGGAGTGGAAAGGAAGAAGTGAACGTACATTTGAAGGCAAGGGCAGTGACGATGACCTCAATAGACCACGAGCCTCGATCGACGAGGTCTCCATTCATGAGTAGGCAGTGCTTCTCCGACGGCGTTCCCGTCAAATCTAATAAGTGTATATAATCATAATATTGACCTGTGGTGCCCAGCCCGATCCAAATCAGCACAATATTTCGCTTTGAATATAGCAAATACAAAGGAAGATCTCTACCATGCACATCCCCGATAACATCACACGTCATCCCATCCTCAAGGTTCATCTCGACCATGCTTTCCTCGCGCACGAAATGTGCATATGCGCCCATGGCGATCTCCCATACGTACCTCCGTGGGATAGACTTCCCCTCCTTAAACCACGCAATCATATCCTTAATGAACGACTCGGAGATACTGTACGTTTTTCCGCCGTCCGAGCTCGGGAGTTGCGGACCTGCGTAGGTCTTATCGACTAAGCAACTATCTTTGGGGTGTACGGAGTTACTTTTAGTTTGTACAGATATCCGGAAGAAGAGGTTTCAAACCTTCGGCGATGATCTCCTTGCACCGTTCCACCGCATTCATCTCCTCTTCCATCTCAATCGCCTATAATTGTATGAATATCAATCAGCAATCCCCCAGAACTGTAATCCAAGATTCGATCCAATGTCCAAATACCGACAGCATGGGGACAGAGGGGGCTAGACGCTAACGTACCTTCTCAAACTCCGTCCTGCGAATGAGCTTCTGTGTCGTGTCGAGCTGCGTTCGCGCAAGAGCATTGTTAGGTTCGAGTGCGATTACTTTTTTGAAGTCTGTGACGGCGAGCTTCGGTTTGAGAACTTGGACCTGACATAGTGCACGTCTGATAGCGTTATGATAAGGATATGTTGAATGGCAAAGAACTGTCATGCATGCGTACCTGTAGTACGCCTTGACATAACTTGGATCCAATTCGATTGCTTTGGCTATGACGTACGCCCGCCGTTCAGCCCTCACACGACCGTTAAATCTATGCGAGATAAGACACGTACTGCAATCGCCAATCGCATATCCATGTTCCTCAATCTTCATGCGCGCATATGCGCGGTTACAAAACAGCGTGGCGTCTGTGGGGTTATGTTCAATGGCCTCAGAATACAAGTGCGCAGCCTTTGTGTAGTCCTGCTTCGAGAACGCAGCGTTTGCTTGCGTCTTGAGGGCGGTGGCTGCAGCCTTATCTTCATCTGAAACGTCTTTGATAGAGAGGTCAGCAATAGAGTGAGTTGCAGATGCGGTAGTCGGCGAAGAGGAGCCAAGCGTGGTGGTAGTAGATATGGGCGAAGCGGGGATGGACGAAGCAGGTGAAGAGGACTGCGATGGACCGGAGCTGGATGCAGCAGGAGAGTTGAGGTTTGTATTCGTATTCGACATTGGCTTGTTAGCTAAGGTTATGGATTTTGAGAGGATGCGTCTAGAAAATTTACGCAAGCAGAGGCACAGGCGACTGCTTCTTTCTTTCTCGAGAGTTCACGCCGAGCACACGCGGTCACACACGCGCAAAGTTCTAACTTGCATCATCACCCCGTTTTGTACAAAATTATGTACACACACATACAGACAGACTAAACAGCCACCGTAAGTTATCGGATTCCTCCCACAGGCTCCCTTCGGTGGTCTCAAACGATGAGCACTCGGAGGCCAGTCCGACGTCTGCAACAGAAATATCTACCAACCCAGTGATAAGTCAGACAATGTCATCTTATCCGCCCTGCCCGCACATTTGCACTGGATGATGGCCTGAGCAGCTCGGGCAAGACGTGACCCCATTTGTCGAATTGGGTACCTAGGTCATTTCCGATTTGTCAGCACGAGCGTCTTCCTGCGTCACGTCATTTTTCAAAGTGACTCATGCATGCAGAAGAGGCCCTGGGGAAGTAGTCTACAATAGAAAATGAAGGAATACTATGGCATAAACTGAAGGTAACAAATGGGGAGAGGGCGGGCTGCGGCGAAGAGAGGGTACTGGGTCGTAGAAAGCAACCCAAGTGTAAGCCGAGCAATGAGGGTGAAATCGGGTATTCGGTACGGGTGATGTGCCGGGCTTAAAAAGGCCACGCAACCCAGTCTCTCGCTCCAACCTCCCCTGCTTACCTACGCCCCTCTCATAAGCCAGGCGTTTCCCGCCTTTACCGTCCACAACACGTCGTACAATCGCTGGAGAGTACCAATGTCGGCCGCGGACACCTCTCAGACTCAACCTGTCCCGGCGGCCGACCAGCAGAATCAGCAGAACCTGCAGAACCAAAACCAACGTCTGTACCTCGCGTAATCCTCGTCCCTATTATCCAATCCATGCTGACTCGTGTCCTGAATTTTTTCTTTACGCGCATGCTTCATCATCATCCTCTCTCGTCCCGCGCACCTCCTGGTTTACTTTTGTAGAGCAAAATGACGCTCCGCCCGCATCAAATTCCTCCGCAGCTGCCCCGCCTTCGACGCCCCAGAGTGCTGGCCAAGCCCCTGCCCAGCCCACACAGCAGCAATCTCCGCCAAACAGTGCTGGTTCGATGAGCTCCTTCATGCAGCTTCGCGCCGAGATCCCACCTGCGCCGCCAATTCGCAACTCACGCAAACGGAAGTCGCCTTCCACAACGGACGACGCGAACCAACAGCAGCAACAGGCGCCGCCGCCGCCGCCCACGACGCAGGTACAGCCGCAGCAACAGCAGCAGGTGCATCCCCAGCAGCAGCAGCCACCACCCCCGCATCCAGGTCAAGCACCCATGCCTCCTCCCCCGCATGTTTATCCAGGTCTTCCTCCACCAGCAGGTAATGTTTACCCACCGCCGATGTATGCGTACCATCCCGGCCCACCTCCACCTGGTCAAGACTACACTACAGCCGGCATGATGCCTCCTCCAGGTGCACCAGGAGGCCCTCCGCTGATGCAGGGCGTGCCGCAGCCTCCTCAACAGACCGGAGACCAGCAGCATCAAGCGTCGAACAGACAGCTCAGCACAAGCAAGCGTGCCGAGCAAAATCGTAAGGCACAGCGCGCGTTCCGCGAGAGGAGAGATCAGTGCGTGTTTCACGTTTGGTTCCATTCATGCGGCTATTGATAACAATCTGCTACTAATTTACAGGCACGTGAAAGCACTCGAACAACGTTCTCAGCTGCTCGACGCTGCCCTTGCTGGAGCTGACGAGGCGAATCGCAGGTGGGAGGAGTGCCGCGCAATCGTCGACCAACTGCGCATCGAGAATACCGCGCTCCGGACCGCGCTGCAACAGGCGCAAACTCAGATCACTGCACTTGGTGGGAACCCCAACGCACCTGCCACTTCCAAGCCGGACGATGTTCAGAGGGGCAATGAGGAAAATGCTACCGGTGTTTCAGAGGCACCGAAGGACACGGCAGCTGCAGTTTGATTGGGTTTGGTCAAGGGACTTTTCATCCTTCCTCTAAATTTTCTTGAACAAAGATATTTTTGTCCTTTTTTTCATCTTGCCACCTTTTTTCCTTCTTAGATGCCCGACGTACAATGATGCAGGGTTATCGATTGTGTATAATTTTGCCTTTATAATTCTTCATGTTTTTCTTTGGTGTTACCTCTTGTTCCCGTTTTCCTTTACTGTCTTCTTATCACTTTCGGGTGTCCTCATTTTGTATCATAGCTGTAGCTACTACATAATTGTTTTCTGCTATGCAACTTGTTATGTCGTCTTGGCCCTCAATAATAATATCCTCTCAACAGGTTTGATAACTTTACTTTGTTTGATAAATAAAAGCGTGAGAACGACTTACCCGTTTGTCGTGATGGAAACAATAGAACACCTTTGACGCGTCTCGTAGCCTCCGTAACGAATCTCTCAAAGTTCCAATCATCAGTGTCTTTCGTGTCGAATATGCCAGCGAAACAGAAAACACAATTACCAGCTGTACCTGCAGCGGATGGGCCTGAGCCTTCGAAGAAGAGTGCGTTGCGATTCAGTTTCACTAAGTAAGATGATGTTCAAATGCTGATAGTTCGTGTGTCTGCTGCAGACGCGTCTCCAGGCGTGAAATACTACCTAATAGCGTACAACGCGTTCTCCTCCCTCGCATGGTCATACGTCCTTATAACACTTACTCTACACCTCCTCGGCTTCCTTTCTACCTCTTCTGCAACGGGGAATACAGCAACCCAACGCGTACACTCCGCTTCAGCGCGTCTCTCTTCACTCTTCTCTTCCTCCCTCCTCCCAACATTCTCGAAATCTGGAAGTACGAATGTCAAATCGAAAGCATTCTTCTTCTCTGCAAAGTTCTTGCAGCCGTTAGTGAAGAGGATGAGTAACACGTATGCGAGTGTAGGGCCTGAGACGACACTTGTGCAGAGTGTTGCGTTGTTGGAGGTGGTTCATGCGTATCTTGGATGGGTGAGGAGTCCTGTGCAGACTACTGCTGCGCAGGTTGCGAGTAGGATTTTCTTGGTGTGGGGTGTTGTTGAGCGGTATGAAGCTGTACGTGTTTAGTTTCACTTCTAATTAAAGAAATCCAAGGAATTTGGTTAACCAGCTTACCCCTCTTTCGACACATATGTCTGTGTTTTTCATTGCATACTTATATGTGTACATAGGCACGCACATCCCCACTCTACGCAACTATGGTCCTTGCTTGGTCACTCACCGAAGTCATCCGCTATGCATTCTATGCTCTCTCGCTACTCTCCATCGAGCCCTACCCTCTCTTGTGGCTCCGTTATACAACCTTCCTTGTATTGTACCCACTTGGCGCAGGCTCGGAGGCCTTCGTCAATTTCGCAACTCTCCCGCATGGCTCGCCTATACCGAGCTTTAATGCGTGGGCGCGTGGAGCGGTGTGGATGCCGTATGATTATATCAGGGGTGTGCTGTTCTTGATTTGGTGGCCAGGTGGGTTTCCTAATGTCGTCTCCCTGAATTATTTCGGTATTGACGTGAAAATAGGACTATATATCATGTACACGTACATGCTTGCCCAGCGGCGCAAGGTGCTTGGAAAGGGTTCTGGTCAGAAACTCGGAAACAAACCAAAGTCACAGTAGAAATTATTTGGTTGGTGTTATCTTCGCTACGAGGCTATGATCTCACGCGAGTTTCCGAGTCTCTTCGGTCTTGGATGCGTTTTTCTCCTCCCAACCTCTCCCCTCCCCCGCCCCTCTGAGTTTATGTCATTTGACATACCTCTTGGTTACTAACTGCTGTTTATTATTTACATATACCCGAATACTTTGGAATGGCTATGTTTTTATAGCATTAATCTGATGCTTGTACTGTGTGGACTGAATTGCATTCTCTGATTTCAGCAGAATACATAAATGATTACTGAGAAGTATAATGCTATTCTACACTATTGGAGAACGTCTTAAAAATAAACAGGAGCCCAACATCGAAAGCCACTACTTAGTGCAGCCAAGATCAAGATCAGGACAATGAATATCAGGCTGTTTCCATTTCCACAAAGACAAGCTGTAAGCCTGTTCGTTATGCATGCAAAATTCTGTCTTGATCTTTCTACAGCAAACGATGACTACTGCATTGTCCGAGTCCTTTACTTTTTGGACCTTCGTAGTGCTAAACGTCGGCGATGAGTCTTCTGATTGTGGGAGCTCTATATGTGCTGCTTCATCATGATAGTTAGAGTCAAGATTGACAGGAATCAATCTGTTTCCGACATGGACCCATAGGCTTATAAGTCTTATCTCCTGTATGAATGTGGTAAATCGTGTATAAGCTATAATCAAATATCTGTTGAAGGACTTCCATTATACATACATTCATACTGTGATCTCTAGACTTTGTTGAAAAGAGAATTTTCATGACAGCACTTTTATTGGCATCAATATGAGATCTATCCCTATGTCGCTTCGATTCCGATATGCAAAACTCGTTGAACCCGTCGGGATTTAGATTAGGTCTTGTCGAGTCGTAGCGAAGGCATACTTTCCACGACTCTGTAACCTTCACACCTTCTCTGTTGTCATACGTGACCGTCACTTCGTACTTGCTGTGTTGTGGATCACTGCTTGACATCTTCTGCAATGTGTACAAACTATGGATCGACAGGCACTGACTGGTCGCTTGCGCGTGGTGTGAGCTTTTTATATCTAGGAAATCACATTGATTTGCGCAATGTTCCCTTCTTACTGATCACTCTGATTTCTGTTGGACCTTTGTTCGCACGTACATTCTTTATCACTCTCGTTTGCATAGGCAGCGACATCGTTGGGGCAACTGATCTGCTTCAGTAACTAAGCAACGATATTCGGCGCGGTCTGTACAGCAAAGTCGGTGATGAAACGAGTTCATAGCATATAGGTGTTTGTAATGCGGTCGAGCGTTTTGAAGGACCATTTATACTCTATTCTAATTTTCAGTCGAATTTGTGCGAATACAAACGTTGTACTGGCGTACAGAGTAACAGACACACTCTCTAAGATCACTATCCAAATTATATAAATTACATAGACCAGTTCGGTTGTCTTCCCTGCCTGAACATACTTCATTTGGACAGGGTTATATGCTCCTGACAGTGATAAAAATGCTTACAATGTTCGGTCTTGACTCTCTTGCAAATAAATTTGACAGATTTATCCAGATCAAGTTTTCCCTCACATTCTTTCTGTGGTTCATCTTGTTGTGGGAGCTCAATGATTATTGGATCACTATCACTTTCAAATAATTTTTTCTGGGATCCCTTTTGAGGGTAATTCATTGCTGTTACATTTGTGATATATATACTCTATATGTGAGATGAAGTCAGGGAATCACATATTAGTCTAGTTGTTCTTTGAAGACATTGTAATATTAGTTAGACTTTACACACATTTGGTGATGCATTTCTTGCGAAAGTTGAAAGACTGACCTGCAGCTGTGACGGTTTTTTCGAGCCTTTACTATGACTTTTGCAGTAGCAGAAGTTGATACCTCTATTCTCTCGGAAAAGTTTTATTCTCCATTTGGCTTTTTTCGATAAACCATCAATTTCACACATCAAGTTGTATATAGTGTGTATTTGTTCATCAGGGTTTCCTGTCATCTGAAGAGTATGTTCTGTAAGTGCAGATCAATATAAGTTGACAGGCAGCATCACAGGCTTGACGTACAGTACTGGCTTTTATAGTCAAACTGACTCAAACACCTAGTTTGTAGTTGCAACAATCTCTTGTACAAAATACAGATCAGTTGATTGTTACTATGCAACACAAACAGAAGTGCTATGGCAGCCTAACTAAGCAACGATATTCGGCATGGTCTGTACAGCAACGTCGGTGATGCAACGAGCTCAAAGCATATAGGTGTTTGTAATGCAGTCGAGCGTTTTGAAGGACCATTTATACTCTGTTCTAATTTTCAGTCGAATTCGTACAAATACGAATCTTGTACTGGCATACAGAGTAACAGACTCTCTCTAACTTCATTATCCGAAGTTATATAAATTATATAGATCAGTTAGGTTATCTCCCCTGCCCGAACGTGCTTCACTTGGCCAAGATTATATGATCTTCCCAGTAGTAATGCTTACAATGTTCAGCCTTGAATCTCTTGCAAATAATTTTGACAGATTTGTCCCGATAAAGTTTTCTCTTGCATTCTGTCTGTGGCCCGTCTTGTTGTGGGAGCTCGATGTTCATTGGTTCTTTTTCGGTTCCAAATAATACTTTCTGTGATCCCTTTTGGGGATAATCCATTGCTGTTACGTTTGTAACATTTATGCTCTACATGTAAGATAAAGTCGGGAAATTACATATCAGCCTAGTTGTTGTTTGAAGACATTCTAATATTAGTTGGACTTTACATACATTTGGTAGTGCATTTTCTGTGGAGAGACCGACTCGCAGTTGTGACGGTTTCTTCGAGCCTTCACGATGCCTTTTGGAATAGCAGAATTTGATACCTCCATTCTCCTGGAAAAGTTTTATTGTCCATTTGGCTTCTTTCCATGTCTCATCACATTCATGCCATGATGCTATCAAGTTGTATATAGTGTGTATTTGCTCATCGGCGTTTCCCGACATCTAAAGAGTAGAGTACGTTCTGTAGGTGCAGACCAGTCACTAGTGTAAGTTGACAAGCTTGACATACAATAATGGCCTTTATAAGTTTATAGTCAGACACCCAGTTTGTAGTTGCAACAATCTCTCTTACAGATCAGTTGATTGTTACTATGCAACACATACTAAACTACTATGGCAGTTTTTCTATCATTAATCAATATTGAATATTCACTGTGCAATCCACAAACTTGAATGAGTTAGATGCCTTGCCTTGTGTCTTGGATTGTATATTCTTTGGTTATGCCTTTTCTTCTCACTACTCTTTATTCTTACCCTTCATTATCTACAGAAACTAAACAGAAACAAACTTATTCAGTATGCATTTAACTAGATTGTCTACAAAGACACTTTGTAATGCTTGTAGGCCAGGTAAGCAGCTAATATATTGGTAGCTTTGACCCAGCTGATGAGGGCTACAATGCTATTCTAAGCTACCTATATATACATTCATGACACAATGTCGACATATGCATTGATTGCTACCAAGCATTTACTATACGGTTAATTATGCAATGTAATATCAGTGAGTTTAACACTACTTAAGACCAAGCATGTGTAGTTAACAAACCCGAGACTTGAGTAGACTCGTATTACTAACCAGTGTCCTCAGCAGGGTCATCAAAACCAAGAGAGTAAACATCTTACATTTTGCGCTATGAAAGTGAGAGAGTCTAAGGGATATTTAAGTTATCGAGTGAATCGGATCACTCATGCTGCAAACAGGAAAATGGGCTTGATTACGTACGCAATCTGAAGTGCGTCGCACTCGCGACTGGTCACTGGCGAGGCTGCGGTCAACTCAGCTTTCCTCCTATCAGTGAACGTACCTCGATAGTGCAATGATTCTCTTAGAAGTAGGCTGGAAAGCAGAATGCTGATGAATAACACTGGCTAACGTTTGATATCGCAGGCACATAATCACATCATCCAAACTACCGTTTCCGAGAAACTCACTAAGTGCGAAGTCCTCCCTAGACTAAATCCACGCGCTCAATTCTGATATACCGACTCACATTGCATTGCGATTCATGCAAATATTGACAGACCTGCAGCACTCGACATCCAATTCGTCGACTACGATGGCGTGCGATTCCACCTTTCGACACCTCAAGTGAAGACGACACTCCTCTTGTCCATGCACATTCGGTGCTGGAATGAGCTTGCGCAGTACGGCGCGCTGGACGTGCTGAAGCGCGAGTACGGCGGATTACTTGCCAATGAGGCGGAGCCGGAGTATAACCTTAGCTTGGAAATTGACTTAACACAGGCACCGCCTGAGGGAGGTATGTCTTTAGGTCTCCAGCTTGGTGAAATTGTGCTTGTGTTACTTAAAATTGATTGTTGGAATTCGGTTGACCAGAGGCGCGCGACTCGTTTGTCAAGTCCCTTGCATTGCTCAAGCGTAATGTCCTTGCGGCACCCTTCGAACGTGCGTTCGCAGCGCAAAAGTCTCTCGAGGGGGGTGCAGCGCCAGGTGCACAGGGCGAGCTCATGCAAATCCATTATCGTGATGAAGAAGCGATATATATCCAAGCTGCTCCCGATCGTGTTACGGTGTTCTTCTCCACTGTGTTTAGGGAGGAGACAGATAGGATTTTTGGGAAGGTGTTCTTACAAGTGCGTCTGGTTCCTTACGAGTAGTTGACTGATTAATTACCTGAAATGGTGTTCGTGATTTGACAGGAATTCGTGGATGCAAGACGTCTTTCCACCTTACAGAACGCTCCGCAAGTGCTTTACTCAAACAGAGACCCGCCGCTCGAGCTTCGCGGCGTGTCCGGACTCAAAGCAAGCGAAGACATCGGCTACGTCACATTTGGTATGTCCCACCTTTTGCCCCCAATTCCCCGCATTCCTCCAATTCCATCCGATTCTTATTCTACATATCATTTATAGTCCTCTTCCCACGACATTTTGACAAGCCCGATGTCGCCTATTCCACCATCTCGCACATTCAGCTCTTCCGGGACTATTTCCACTATCACATTAAATGCTCCAAAGCGTACATGCACTCACGCATGCGCTTCCGCGTCTCTGAGTTCCAGAAGATACTCAATCGCGCGAAGATGGAAGTTGCAACGGCAGAGCGGAAGACAGTTAGGTGCGTATATGCGCTGGTTTTCTTTGTCCCTTTTTCTATTCGTTTGCATGAGAAGGAATTGACTGAGACCTGATTCTTATTGTTACAGTGGAAGGACACTGGTTAGTCGCTGAAAAGATAAGTGACGGTAAGAGAGAGCTTTAGCGCTCGTAGATCGTCTATGTATCATTAGCAAAATTACCTTTGATCCTGACACGTCCTCCTCTGAAATTGACGAACTGGACCACGACATCTCACCGATTAGCGTAAAACATAACCATACTATTAAAGCAGTGACACATTAGACACCTATTTTGAAAAATCGTCTCTTCTAGGATAGGAAACACTCAGGCTACAAGTCAAATGCTCTACTCCTCCAACCTGCCTTTCTCCTCTCCCTTCTCTCCTGATTCTGCATCCTCTCTTCCGCAGCCTCGACTGTACGCCTCGCTTGAACCGCTTCTTCGATACCCTTCTGTGCAACACCTTGCACATCTTCTCGAATATCTTGCACTTTGCCATGGACGTCCTCAATTGCCTCTCGGGCAGCTTCGGAGACTTCGTGTGAAGCTTCTTGAGGTGACTCACGCTCGACACCGAGCGCAGTAGGCTCTGCTTTACCTGGGAGAAGCTGCGAACCGACGCCAATAGCCATAGTGTTCTCTGTTGGAGGTGGTGCTTCGCTCTCGGATTCTGGTTCTGGTTGCTCGATCGTTGTGCGTACGATACCTGTTAGCGACGCTTCGGTATGTGTCTCCGTGTACACTCCCCTTTGTTCTTCACCGTCGTCCTCTTCCTGGTCTGACTCTGAAGCGTTTTGTTCCTTTTTGGATCCGGCTCCGAACTTCTCAAGTATTGCATCCCACCAATCCCAAACATTCGTCTCTTTTAGTTCCTCATCTGCTTCTTTTCTGCGGATTCGTGCCATCTCCCCTGCCGAGACTTTAACGTCCCTAGTCCATTGCTCAAGCGCTTCTAAACCGCTCCGAACCTGAGCGTTCAAGACGCGCGTCCCAAATACTCTCCCTATTGGCCCTGCAAGTGGTGCAAGCAGGATAGAGTTGAGTATCCAATGCCTACTGTGTGCAATGTGCAAAGCGAGTCCTGGAAGTGAGGTGTGGACATCTACAACGCGGAAGAGCGGTTCTTCCTGTTGTTCGTCCTCCTGGTTTTGTTTTTGTTGAGCCAACGACTTTGAGTTTGAGTCTGTCTCGAGTTCGATGTCTATTGTGAGACCTTCGCCTCTTCGCTCAGCGTGACCGATGTCGACGCTCAAGAGACCTTCGTCCGTGTACCCTAGCCAACTATTTCGTGCATACGAGGCATAGTAACCTACTTCGTGCGCTGCAACTCGCAGGCCTTCGACGTGTACTCGTATACGGGACGTCGAACTCACAGAAGTTTTCTTCCTCCTCTCTGTTTTGCTGCTTGGACTTGAGTCCATCTGATTCTCGTCTTCGTCTGCTAGGAGTGGAATACGACTCGCACTTTCCAAGTGTCCGTGGCCTGCATCATTGCTCCTTTGTTTAGCAGACAAGAGTCGGGCGTTTGGGCTCGTCAACTGTGCAGCGCCGACGTGCTCGTCGACCTCTACCCTTACTTCAGCGAATTCTTGAACAGTCAACACGTCCGGGATAAGCGATTCTTCCGCGCTCAATAGTAGTGCGTCGACCGCTGCGGCTATATGCGCCCCATTTGGCATTGACGAGACGTATTCAAATCGCGGCATAGGAAGAACGCGGATTACACGGAGAACTCGCGGAACTAACCAACCCAGTGCTGCACGGAGAAGGGTTGTACGCCAGTGCGTCGCGGCGCGTTGCCCAGTCTCCTCTGTCCGGCCGAAGAGAACGAAGAGATCAGTGTGCAGGGTTTCAAGTGCGTTAACCAATTTATTTGTCGACCGATCTGTCTTTAGTGCATCTACGAATGCGTTAACCTCCGTTAGAAGACTCTGAACGTCCTCGGATAGTTGTTCGTTCTGTGAAAAACGTGTAAAGCCTTCGTCATAAAGCATAGACGCGGTGTCCCGTCCTTCTCGTGAAGCCACGAACGAAGGGTCGTCTAGTGCGGTGTCCAGCCATATCCCAACTTTTGTGAAGAAGTCTCGCAGCTCGTTCCCTTTAGCGGCACCTTCTTCAACAGGAGCCACTGAGATATCATGAACGGTCTTGAGCAAAGTTTGTAGCAAAGGCTCGAGGCTCTTCCTTCCGGCAAACCTCTCAAGCAAGACTTTCACACCCTCAAGTGCGTGGCTGAAATGAGGATCCGGAATAATCACAGGAGCTGATAGTTCAATTGAGGATTTTTGACCAGATGACTCGGACGACTGTGCAACTTGAGAAACAGCAGTTGAAGCAAGGCTTACGCGCTCGGCGTACTTCCTAAAGAGATACAGTAGCGTCCGTAAGGCCGAGTTGTACTTTGGAGAAGCTTGTGCCTGGCGGAAAATCTACAGTATCGAATTCATAAGTATCCCAAGAAAGGATAAAATGAATATGGGAATCAAATGAGTCACTCACATGCTCGATACGATCCAATACGACTTCTTTTGGGGACCTGGTTTCCCAGTCACTTGGCACTTCTTCGGAAACCTTCTCCACCTCCACCTCTGGTTCTTTAGGTACAGCAACAGGTTGCATATGAACGTCTCCGGAGCCCGGCCGAACGTTAGTCTCGACTACCTGCGATATCTTCTCCACTTGCTCAGCAGCTCTCCGAACACTTTCAGCACTATCTGCAACGAACTCCCGTGCAGTACGCAATAAGTCTCCTAGGATAAGTCGGAACGTAGAGGAAGTTAAGACGAGTGTCATTAGTGTGCGGAAAGAGGAGAGGAAGGCTGCTATGTCGATAGCTAGTTCTGATTGTGAAGGTATAGCGGATGCTACAGGTTTAGTTACTATCAGTTTCATTTGCCTCTCGTGCATTGTATGATATCCTTGTGAAGAAGAGTACTTACCTGCTTGCTGTTGCACCTGCCCGACAACTTTGTCATTAACACGAACCTCAGGCACAGATTCCACGTCGACCGGAAAGCGTCCATCCCTATTATCAGAGCTCAGTTCACGGAGTTGATAAATCAAGTCCTGGAACTTGTCATCATCTAAATTAACACAAGGTTATTATTTCTCTTAGCGCAAGTCTTACACTATATCAAAATCATGGATTATGGAAATAACGTACGGTTCTTCTCTAACCCAATCTGCAGCACCACCTCAACGGCCTCTCTTGCACTCCTCACAACATTCTCAACACTCTTATCCAAGACCTCTCTCTCTCCTTCTCCTCCGCCTTCCGCCTCTCCGGATTCTCCTTCTGCCCCCACATCAAAGAACCCCCCCCTCAACAACCCCCTCAATGCTCTCTCAACCTGTACCTGACTGGGCAGTTTCCCAGCATGCAACGCTCCCAGTACATCTGCTACTTTCTCATACGGCTTCGGCCTTTCGTCACTTTTACGTTGGTCCTCTCCATGTCTGATGAGTGGTTGACGTTCCAAGTCATTTGATCTGGAAGACTTGCTCCGTCTACAACAAGAGAAGCAATAACCCATGTGGTCTCTTCTCGTCTTTATCGTTCTTTGAGCGCTAACCGTAAGTAAAGAGGAAGAGAAAGAGGACCTGAGTGAAAGTGAAACAGGTCGTCCCATCCTTTTAGGTTCATGTGCATTGCGTACGAAGTTAATGAATATGAATGGAGCACGAAGACAGTAGCAACTGAGCAAGTGATGTCATGCCGATCATCATCTGCGTTCGATGATTTTCATTATTAGCTAATACAACTTTCTTACATCCTCTCTCTGAGTCTGTCTCTCGGTCTTCGCCCTTTTTGTTTCATTTCATTTCTGTGTCCTATCCCCATATACACATGATATAGGAGCACATGACAGATTCTATTTCTGGGTGGGAGAAGATAGAAATGAGAATCTGAGTCAATGTTTAACCTCCCTCCTTTCTTTTACTGCCTTCCCATACTCAATTTCTTGTCCCGTCCTCTCCCCCTCCAGTGTTCTCCCCCAATTTCAATCAGAAAAGCTTAAGGACAGACATAACATTCTCCGCTGCCCTCTTACGACCACTGTCTCACTCCCACACCTGATTATTAGCCTCATCGGTCTCCATATACAGCTTGTCCTCTATGCTCACGTCCCCTCCATCCAAGAAGGAGACTTGGTGGTACTATGCCGGTCTGCCCTCTAACCCAAACCTGGTCGCTCGCACCGGCATTCAGTGGAAGGCACCCACGGGCCCAGAGGCGTACCGAGGAACCAGGGAACTCCGCACTGTCGGTAACCATGCACTCCTTGACGTTTGGGAAGACAATTTGGCTCTCAAGATACACGAACTTCTAGACACGATGAAGGTGAAGTGGACTAGTACCGACGTCGTCCGCATCGGGAACGCCGAGGAATCTTCCTCCACTGTCGTCCTCTGGATTGGGATAAAACCAGCAACTCTCTCTGGTTATGACGGCCTTGATGTGGCTTCGAAGTGTCGAAACCTCCTGGAAGAATATGATATAACTGACGTGGAGGTCGAGATCCGCGAGTCGGTCGTTACTCGCTCGCTCGGTCCCAAGCTCCTCCTCACGTCCGATTTTCCCTATTTCGATCCCACTGCAGATGTCCGTGATCCACTTACCACCACTCTCGGTCTCCCCATCTCGTCCCAATCTACACCTTGGGCTGAGGGTACCGGCGGCTTCTTCATTGCCGAGGGTGATAACAAGAGGCTCCTTCTTGTTACTGCCCGCCACGTCGTCTTTCCACCAGATAAGAGCAAGAACAAGCTCTTCGAGCACAAGGACGATAGCCAACCCCGTCACAACGTCACTTTGTTCGGAGATGCAGCGTTCGAAAGGTACCTTAAATCCATCCAGGCTGAGATCGAAGGCAAGGAATTCTATGTCAATTATTATGGGAGATGCATTAGGGAGAAGGAGGAAGAGGAGGGAGAGGACAGCCCAGCAGCGAAAGAGAAACGCACGAAGTACCAGGCCGAGATAGACAAGATGAAGAAGGCGAAAGAAGCGCTCAACGCTTTCTACCAGGACGTGTCGACTCAGTGGAACACTCCGGAGAGCCGCATTTTAGGCCATGTCATCCTCTCTCCTCCCATCGGCGTCGGTGTCGGCAGCGAGTGTTATACTGAGGACTGGGCTGTCATCGAGATCGACCCGTCCAAGATCGACAAAAGCAACTTCAATGGGAATGCCATCTATCTTGGTGCTTTTGAGAAGTTCATTCACATGTTACATGTTGACTTCGGCCTTAACAGTGCCAGTTCCTTTGAGTATCCATTCGACAGTCTTCTCAAGTTGCATGGCACTATCCCAGACGAGGAGATGCGTTACCGGACTGCACTCGATCACGACGGCCTACCGTGTCTTATGGCTATCAAGCGCGGTATTTCCACAGGCCTGACGGTCGGCCGTGCAAACAACATCTTCTCATACGTCCGTAACTATTCCGACCATGATAATCCCAAGACCTCAAAAGAGTGGGCCATCCTCCCACGGAACTCCAAGTCTGGTGCCTTCTCAGAAAAGGGCGACTCGGGCTCCGTTGTTGTCGACAGGCATGGGCGCATTGGTGGTCTTCTAACCGGCGGTGCTCGTGACATGGATTCCGACTTGGATTCCTTTGACATATCCTATGCTACGCCAATCACCTTCCTCCTCAAGCGCATGTCAGAACAAGGACTGCAGGATCTCAACATTGACCCAGTCCTCACTGTCTAGACACATTCCTCCTTTTCTAGTCCAGTCATTAGCTTGGCTGCCAGACACTTCCTACATGCAGCCTTTGATGATCCCATGCAGGATGTGCTAGTTGCAGGTGTTCAATTAGTCTCGTTACTGTAACTGCCTAGTTTCCTTTTCCTTAAACACTGTCAACTTAGCTTTTAACTATGCCCTCCTCTTTCTCCCTTATCCCAACTTACTTCTTAAAGGTTTGGAGACAGTACAGAGATAGGGATAAAATATAAACAAGCCTGAGTAGTTGATTGAAAGATTATTTACAGTTGTAAAGTAGAAGAACATTAATATATATATAATTATATACACATATGACAGAAATAGCACTCAGAAATAAGTAATTACTAGTAAGAGATATATACTTATATATATAGTATTTTAATACACAATGTACTTCCTACTGTAGTTCCATACTGTTTCCTTATATATTGACTTGTTCCTGTCTTTGTATGTGTAATAGTAATGCCTGAAGTCCTAAGTATATGCTACTAATTCTCTGTCCATTTGGCAAATCCATGTGTGAATTAATGTGTTCTAGTATTGACTTCCTGTCTTCCTGTGTACTTGTTCTTGTTCTGAAACATTTCTTCCTCTTGTACCTGTAGTACTGATACTGTCTGATCCTACAAAGTCCTTTGTAAAATCATCTTGTAGTAACTCAAGTAAGAGAAATATATGTTCAAACATATAGATTGTATGCTCAAAGAGTATGTACACAATGTAATGTGTATGCCTCTTGCCCTCTTATCAAAATATGAATACATTTTCAGTATAAAAGATCTAATATTGTTCTGAAAAATGTCTAGAGTGTCTGGAGAGATTTTCTGCATAATTGTGTACTTGAAACTGATTGTAACAACTTATTCCTAGAGTGAAATAAACTGTATCATTGTTTAATAGATGTCCTTAAGCTTTCTGATACTCAATATCTTTCTGAAGGATTGAAATATTATTCCTGTGTACTCAAATAGTCTGTTTGATCATTCCTAATTCACTATCACTCTGATATTCACTAGCTGTATACATATTGCTTTCACTTTCCCTTAAAGTAGTATAATAATCTGTTTGAATAGATTGAGCAGATTGTACAGGTTTGAAACCTGTTTTCTAGCTTAAAGTCACCCTCTAAACTTCTGTACTTTGTTCCATATAATGTGTATCTGTTCCTAGTCTCAATATTGTCTCACTATCATTCTTATACATAGATTGTAATGGTTTTCCATTCTGTAAGTTGTAATTGTCCTCCTGTAGCTTGAATAACACAATTCTTACTATGTAACCTAAGTATATACATAGTAGTGCATTTGTTTGAGTGTCTGTAATGTTTATAATATGTCTAATAAAGTATTCTGAGTCTATTCTAATGAATCCTAACTGTCTGAAAGTGTATTCTACAATGTAATACCTTATGTTCTACTATAGATACAATATATACTATAAATCCTTGTACTTTGAGCTGGTCTCAATGTTTACTAGTGGATCTCTATCATAAACTGAGTTGTTTTGATACATAACATCCAATTGTACCTTATAGAACATTGTTCTATACAAATTCCTTTGATTATACTTATTATAAACTGTATCTTTAATCCTAAAGCTAGAAATGTCTGTTCTGATGTTGTGTAATCAATATACCTGAATGACTGAACATTCTCCTAGTTTGTTAGAATCAAAATATCTCTCAGTGTCTAATAATAATGCTTGAAAACAGAAGATTAATGTGTAATAAGTATAACTACTTGTACAATTTACTATTTGTATTGCCCTGTTGACTGTAACACTATTTGACTGATTGTATTTCAATTTCCTAACATTCTCAGGTCCTTTCCTAATATTCTGTACCTTGTAGTATGTCTGTAGTATCTTAGATACATGGAAACACTACTTGTATACATGTTTCTTTCTATTTTCCAAGTGTCATTTGTATCTATAGTCTTGTAGAAACCTTTCTACACTGTATGCCTGTACTTTCAAGTGTAAAATGTTATTGTATACACTATATAACTGTCTGTACCTTAATGTACATATCTAGTACTGTTTCATACAGTTCTGAACGTTTACTGTTCTATTCCTTAGTCCTGTAATACTATAAGGTCTCAAATATATTGAATTTGCCCTTTCAAATGTATAGTTTGTATGCCTGAACTTGTATTCCATTACAGAACACTCTAGTTCTGTTACTACATTCTTAGTATTACTTTTATAAGGTATCCAAATTGATAGAACATGTAGAAAACTACTGGATATCTTGTAATCTATCTTGTATTCATTATTTAATACTAATTCTATATAGTTCTCACTGTCCAAGTTGTCTGTTAACTTATCTATAGTAGAGTAATTAATACTAACATTACTAGATGATAAACTATTATTCTGTACATTGTTCACTCTGATTGTATTACAAGTAGGACAATTCCTGGCTAAGTGATTTTCTTGTTCACAAATAAAACATAGTTCTTTTACTCTTATTTTATCTAATTTTAATTAGGAATAATACTTGAAACCTGTAGCATATGTTCTCTAATAGTTTCCTTACTTTCAATAGTGCTGGTCCTTATTTTCTAATACTTTATACTATTGTTTGTCCTTTCCTTTAGCATTTGTACTGCTTGTATGTGTAGTATTCTGACTAGAGTTACTATAATCAGAATCATTACTTTTACTATCCTGTAGAGTGCCTTAATTGTTTCCTGAATTATCAGAACTGCCTGTATACAAATACTCATTCTGAGAATCATTACTATGTTCTTACAGATTGAAATATTATCTAGAGTCTTTGTACTATTTGATTCCTACAGATTTGTTTACTTTCTTAATACTTTCAAGCTTATCCTTAAAGATTGAGTAGTCTACTATGTTTAGATTCAAGCAATCTAATTGTAGTTACCTCTGGTATTTAGAATTCAATCCATACTATACTTGTCTAGTCAATTCTCTCTGAGAAATGTCTCCTAGATTTGTAGCTTTCATCTTAAGATTATACAAATAATCCTAAATATTCCTATCACCTTATTTTAAAGTATTAAACTCTTTCTATAGTATTTTAGCAAAGTTAGAAGGGAAACAAAAGTTCATAAGTCCTCTAAAGAATTGAGCAAGTATTCATCTATACTCATAGTTTACAATCTTTTGTAAATAGAAATTTATTACTTTTCCTTTAATAAAACCTAGTATTATCCTTACTTAGCTCTTAGGGAAATAATAAAGTTCTGATTGTTTCATGTACTGATTGACTTCAATAACAAACTTCATATACTTTTACAAGTCTGGTTCACCTGAATATACTGTAGGAGTTATTAGTTCTGTACTATACATTTATATCTTTAATTTAAGGAGTTCTTTGTTCTATTTCTTTCTCAAGCATTTCTTACACTTTTTAGTAGCTTTAGTATTACTTGAATCAATGTCTGATAGTTTGAATAAAGCATTACTTTAATTATTGTTATTGGATGAAGAGGAATCTGAATTATTACTGTCTGAGTCTGATTCTAGATTGAAATTTCCCTTTTTCTGTCTTCTAGAGCTCTGAATTGCTCTGTATGTGTAGCTATTCTTTACTAAGCTGTCTAAAGGTCTTACAGATGTGAATCTATCTATCTACAGTGTGTTCGAACTTTGTGGCTTAACAGTATCTTGTGTGGTTCTATTTTTGTAGCCTTTACTATTTCTATTCTTACTATACTCAATATGTAGCTTTGAACTGTATAGTTTACTATACTCTGAATCAATATTGTTCTCACTAATACTACTAGTGTATGCCTTGCCTAGGACTGCTTTCAGTTATAAAGTATTACTATAGGATTGTTTGTTCACTGATTTAATGTAATGTATACTCTAATACTCTGAAAAACTTAGTATTTCTATTTAAGATTATATATATCTAGGTATTTTACTTTCTCTCTTATTCCTAGACCTGGCTAGAGTGTTGTATCTATTGTAGTACTCCTATACATTGCTCCTGTACAATGTATAGTTGATATCTACCATGTATAAGGTTAAACACTCAATTTAATAAGTGTATACTTAATTTTTACTCTCTAAATCAAGTACTAATCCTTATAGTTCTGATTTGTACTCACTTCTACTATTCTCAAAATACTGTTCTGTTGATACAATGTCCATTTTGCTTGGATAGTCTGAATCAATTTCACAACTGTATTAAATATCTGACAGTTCTGGTTTTTGTTCTGTTTCTTGTACTTTATGTTTTCCTTTTACTTTACACTTTCCTTTTACTTTCTGTGAATACAATTGTTTGTCTGGACTCTTGAGTGTTTCTTCTACACTCTCAGATTGATAGTTCTGTCCTCTACTGTCTGTAGGTACTGTAGTATGTCTAGCTTTTGTTCTATAGTCTGTCTAAAGTGTTTTACACTTTTCTATTACTATACTATCAAATTTACTCTTGTTTAATAAAGGAGTTACTTTCTCCTCTTCCTAATACATTCTATTAAATTTGTACATTCTCTTATCCAAATCCTTAATGTCTATTAAACTGTAGAATAGGCTGACATGTCTTATGTCTATCTTAATTACTCTGACTCTTGTAATGTGTTTAAAGGTCTTACTTACCTTCTAGAAGCCTTACTCCTTATTAAATCTCTGTAGTTTTGATACCTGACTCTCTTAGCCTTTGTTACTCTTGTATTCTGAGTCCTGACTACTTTCTTTACTGTTTAAAAGAGTCTTAAGTGTCTGATTGCCTTCTACATTACTACTGTTAATGTGTTTCTGTTCTAAAGTAAGTGTACTCACTAGATACTCATCTACACTCTTACTAATACTGACTATATATATAATAGAATCTGTACTATCTTCCTTTATACTTACTTTTGTTAATTAACTAGCTGAATCCTCAAAACTAATTACTTGTTTGTTCTAAACTTGACTGTCTGAATCCTTAAGAACAATTACCTGAGTGTCTTTACTCTTTATACCTTTATTTACTACTCTTGTAGAACAGTACTAGAGAAGTACTAAAC